TTTGGGCACACATGCAGGCCAACTATATATATATATATGTACATATATATATATATATATATATATATATATATATATATATATATATATATATATATATATATATATATGCATAATATACGTGCGTCTGACAGTGGATGCTCATTTATAATGCCTTTTTAAAATGCATATGAGACTAAAAACAACTTATATATGCTTTTCTGCTAGAGTAGATCTTTTTATCTTTTTATTGGCATACGCTAAAGATGGTATTCATACGTCAAACATGCGCATGCATTTTGCATGAATCTTTTTTCCGGAAATCCCTTCTCCCGAGCTCCCGAATCATTTCAAATAATGTTTTAAAACATCAAAACGATTTTTTTCTTGTTTTAATGTTATATTTGCTTTTTTCGCAGCGCAAACTTATGGATTTCTCGCGTGCCGTGTGCGAGTTGGTCGAGGATTTCAAGTAAGAATTGAGACAAAGAGAGGCCAAGGAATGAAAAAAACAAAATACGGCGAAGACAAAGTCAAACATTCAAAATAAAGAGAATTTAATCTCGAAATAAAGAACTATTAATCTCAGGAAACAACAAATTGAGTGAATCTGCATCGGCGTGGCGCTTTTGCACTTTTGAATGAAACTGACGGATCTGGCTGGGGCTGCCGGCGTTTATATATTTCTTCATCATTTGTGCATTTATTTTCATTTGTTTTTTGAATTTGTAATTTCATTTGGTTTTTGAATTTGCCGCATTTATTGTTCATCAATATATTCCTCCCATGGAGCTGTTGCATCTGTCAAACAAGGCGCGAGATTTGCTTGTGCAGGTTTATTTGCGAGCACCTTCAATTGGTTTTTATTTGAAAAATGTCTTTTTAAAAGTGTTTTGAATTGTTTATCCGGTACGTGGAGTGTGTAGGATTGTTTATCCTCCAGTTTGATCCATTGTATGTGTTAATGCCGGCCATGGTTGGTGTCAGTGGGTGCGGGTGTTTGCCGTGGCGGTCCGAAGTTAAGTTCTGGCCCGCAGCTCATTCCCTTTAATATTTATTCTTTCAACTCATTTCCTTTAATGCTTATATTTATTTTATTTTGCTCTTTGTTTTCAGTTTGGTTTCTTTTTTTCCGGTTTGCGTCACTGACAAGGAGTGCATGCTGTTGGTGCTGCGGGTGGCAGACGCAGCCAACGGCTTTGCCCTGGGAAACTATGCAGAAAATGAAAGGGGGTACCCTTTGCAGCTAGACACTGAAGAAGAACGGCAGATGCTGTGAGCTGCTGCTGCTGCTGCTGCTGCTGCTGGTAATGCTGCTGCTAATATTCCCGGCTTGGTTCCTTTGCTGCAGCTCTGCGGGGTGCGAATTTTTTGCCGCTGCTCTGCCCCCGGATTTGCGCTGCTGCTGCGGGACATGCTGCTGCTGCGAGGTATGCTGCTGCTGCAGCGTCCGCTGCTGCTGCTCTTGCTGCTTTAACTGCTGCTGACGCTGCTGCTGCTGCCCTTGCCTCCAGGATCGAGAGACTTCAGGAGCGCTATGTGGATTTTGATCCTGCAGAAGAGGAAGGTGATGCAGAGGAGTCCAGTGAAGTAGATTGAAGTGAACTTAATGAAAGACAATTTGTTTTTTATCTACAAAAGACATAAAATTGTTTAATTACATCGAACTGTTTTATTTTTAACGAGAAATCAAGTCCGAAATTCTCTGCAGCAGGCGCTGTTTGCTGCAGCGACACCGCGCTGCTGCGCACTGTATTCCGTGTGCATCCCGTATTTCATTTATTGTCGGTTTTTAAAATCTTTTTAAATTGCTAAATAGAGCAGCGGATGCAGCAGCAGCGGATCCTCTAGCAGCTAGTGCTGTTAAAGCGAAATCGGACAGCTTTTGCGTTTCAAATCTCAGACAGAAGAGACTTCAAATATTTCGACGTTTGCGTTAAGACACATATAGCAGAGGTCTTGGCTTCGGCGTTAGGGCCGGTGGCGCCTCTGACAAACTCGAGCTATTCGTCAACAGTGTGGATTCATTTTCAAAAATGAAATGTACATGGCGGAGTGATCCGGCAAGCGCTAGCTAGCTGGCCAGCTAGCTAGCTAGCTAGCTGAGGCCGGGGCACATTTATAGGCGGGCAAACACGCTGCGAGGCACTGGCTGGCTGGGGTGCTGGTGGGCACTTCGCTAACCAGCCGAATTGCCGCTCTTTGCTCTTGCCCATAGCTAGCTAGCTAGCTAGCTACCACCATTAGGTGGACACTGTAGCCAGCTTGGCTAGCTAACAGCTAGCCACGCTTCTTCCCCATTGAGCCTCGGGCAAGGCTGCGAAGCTCCGGAAAAAATCTAACAAATAGATGGGGGCCACAGCCAGCAGCTGCGAAGTGCGTGGAGGGAATGCTGGCGAAACAGCATAAATGTCTGCTAGAAATTTATTTATTCAAACACAAATATTCAGCATTGAGGATTAACAAAGTCTAGGGCAGCTGAAGGCACCTGAAGAAGTAGTTTCCTGCAGTTTCATTTGAAGCAACTCACTTACTGGCACCAAGAGGAAAGCCCCGGCGCCACGCATTGTTCAACTTCAGCAACCAGCAGCAGCAGCAGCGGGAGCTGCAGCAATTACCCAGAAAAGAGGTTTTGATTTTTTTGTTAAAGCCCATCCGCGGCCTCCAGGCTGTTTACTGGAAGCTGTCACTGCCAATACAATGGATTTTCGTCCCACCTGGAGCTGCACTTGAAGCAGACACTTTAAAGCCTTTGAAATTCCTATTTTCATTTACTATATTTCATACAATATGAAGTTATCGAAAGCGCTTCTAAAGAAGTAAGAAGAAACCAAATTGGAAACGAAATAGGCTGTGAACATGAAAAGTGGCCGGCCGGCGCAGCATGTGCCTCACGTACTGCGGAGAAAGTACATTAATGTGTGTGGAGAGTACGATCTGCTAAAAGGAAAAGGTAAAGAATAAATATTGAAGCAATAATGGTGACAACTGTGTTGATTCTGCTGCTTCTGCTGCTGCTTCTGCTTTTGCTGCTTCAAGTGCTGTTCTGAACAAGCTGAATAGGCTGGGAAGGCCAAACCGAGTGGCAAAGCAAAGCTGTTGTGTGGATAAAAGCTGGATCATATAAGCAGGAGTCAAATAGGCATATTCAAATAATATAAAATATGTTTTGGCAGTTTAAATTATAATTCTAGTCTTTTCCATTCAATTCTGTTGCGAAAGGGAAAGGCACCCACGATCTGCACCAACAAGGAAGAGCCTTGAACTTTGTTTAAACTCATGGAAGAAAAAAAAATGGAAAATCAAATAAAAAAGTAAAAATAAAAGGCACTTGAGATTAAGGGAAGCTTCACTACAACATATGACAGGTCTGTTGGCAACGCACTCCCTTCGAACGGACACTTTATTATTTATCTATTTATTTATTTATTCATTCATTTATTTATTCATTGTTTTGTTTTTTACTTGACACTTGACAGCTTGCCTGCTGGCTGTGGCTCACTGCTGCCGCTGGCTCTCACGCAGCCCTTTGAAAAAATTAATTTAAAAATCAAATTCATGTTTTGCTCTAAAGAGAGGCTCTGTTCAGCAACAGGATTCAGCATAATATAGAGAAGGAGTAAAACACAATCATACGAAAATAGTAACCAAAGCTTCCTTTATGAATTGGTGCTGCATTACAAAATGATTTGGCGAGAATTTACAGCATGGCAGAAGGGGCCTTTAAGGCTGCTGGATGTCTTCCTCTTTGTTTGTATGTTCAGCTTCTTGCTTTTTGCTGCTTTCTCGCTGCCCTTGTTTCCAACTTTGTGGCTTTCTTCCGAGGTGACAACAGCAAAATAGCTTATCCTTCAAAAGCCCTCTGATGCTTTTGGGTACTCTTTTGAACAGCCCAAACACTAAATCTTGGATCAGAAAAAACAGATAAAAGCATTTCATTGATGTGGGCTCCAGAAGAATCTCTAATGGAGGCCTGATGAGTTCATCTGTATAGGGAAAGTGAAACGGACTTGCTGAAATTGCATGCAGAAAAAGCTGCGGAAATCACTGCCATTGTGCTGCTGCACTAATGCCTCTAGCTTCTACGTGCCTGGAGCCTAAAGAAACTATTTCCGTGGCTGTTTGCTGTGTTGTGGTGTCTTTGAACAACACAATAGTTGCTGCAACATGCTGCGCGCCTTTTAGCTGCAAGTGCTGCAGTTCGTGTTTCTGTTTCTGCATTCCTGTGTTTTCAGCTGTAAAGGCCGTTCTTACTGCAGCTCCCGCTTCGACAGCAGCAGCAACGTGAGGTGCAGCAACATGCCCACTCAGAGCAGCACCAACTACGGCACTTCACTCATTTAAAAATGCTTCAAAGACGCATTTGACGCACGATCTGGAGCGCAGGGCTGCATGGAGCGTCTTCATATCTACAGCAGGTCTCAAATGTTGGACTCTAGGGTTAAAATAAAGTTCAAAATTCGAAAATAATAATGCACAAACACTTACGAGCTGCGAAAAGAAAACCAAAGAGTGCTGCAGTTCCTCCAGGCCTGTAGAAACCAAGAAAAATCGAATTCAGTGAGACATCATTCCTTGTCAAGAACTTCAGAAGTTGCAGCTGCTGCTGGCGATCATGAACATAGACGAGAAAAACGTAAATATGCGCCACTGAGTGCCACTCACATCCTGGAACAAACAAACTACATTAGCTAAGCTGCTGCTACAGCAAAATGTGCTTTGTATGGCCCTGGGCCACTGGAAGCAACAGATGCACAAAATGGTCATGCATGCAAAGCACTTATCTGCTGCTTCCCAGGAAAGCCAAAAGGCCATTTTAAAACAAAAATTTGGCTTAGAACGGCTCCAAGTGTCATCGAAATGCCAGGCTAAAGAATCCCAAAAGAGCAACACACAGCATCACGCAGTGGGTCCTAGTTGTGCTGAATTTGCAAACCAAATGCGAGGCTTTTGGAGTTTAAGGAAAACGAACTCCCTGATGTTTCCATTAAGTTACTACTGTGTCTGTGCCTGGGGCCTACGGCTTAGGGTTTGGGGCTCGAAGTTCATTCTTGAGTTGCTTTCCGGTGGTTTGCAGGATACCCACTTAGGTACTTCTCGTCTTTTTTTCTTGTTTCCTCTATTGTCTGCACTTTCGTGTGTGCCCTTTTGGATACATAATTGACTACTTTATTTTCGCATTTGAATTGGCTATCTGTCTGCTTGATTCGTCAGAAGTTCGGTTCCCAAATATGGCCAATGCTTCTGCTGCTGCTGCTGCTGCTGCTGTTGCTGCACCAAGCCTGCACCCTTCCTCAGCTGTCCGCTGGAAATCTGGGCTTGAGGCAGGACAAAGGTGGGAACCTCAGGAAGCTCAGGCAAGAGCTGGCAACTCACAAGCTAAATTCATTCCACTTTTGCAAACTTCAACTCAATGGTTGGATCTACAAGAGGAAAACGCTTATATTTGAATCAGGCTGGCGGTGTTTCGACCTTCTAGCACTTCACCAAAAAGTGCACTAATTTGGGCTGAAACAATTTTAGGCTTAAAGTTCCTTGCGGATCTCACTGAAAAAGCCAACAACTCACATCCTGCTTTCCCGAGAAATTTGCGGCTTAGAGTTTTGAATTCAAAACACGCGAAGAGACTTCGACTAATTCTTTTGTTTGCATTTCTTCTCCAGTGATTTACACGAAATAAAATGAACTCTTCTGTTTCTTATAATCCTCCAGCGTTGACATATCAATCTGAGTGTAAAGAAGCAGTACTTCGGCTTGAACAGCACGCTGCAGGTAGCAGCATGTGAGGAATCAATGATCACTTGGTGAATGCACCTGCAAATAACTTCTTGGGCTCAAATGCCCTGCTGTAAGGTGCTGCTGCACTTTCCTATGGAAATAATTCTACATAGGCGCACTTCCTGGAATTTCGCCTAAACTGTATCCCACTAAAAGTGTCTGAAAACAATTTTGATTTCCACAGTGGCGGAAACCTCGCCTTCATGCAATTAGAAGGGTTAAGCTGCTAGGAAGTCACCTTCTCTGACAACCGTCAGCGAAAAGAATTCTTACATTCTGAAGAACCCAAACCGTTTCCTGGGGAAATGAGTTTATGAATTAAATACTTTATAATGATAAAGTTCTATTCAGCACAGTACGGGATTGAAGCTTGAATTAATGCGTCTATGAGCAGCCGAGATTCATGAATGCTACGAGGAAGTATAACTGCTCCCTCCCTTGGGCCCTTAATTCCCCAAATTCAGACCTGAAAACAAAAATATATGTGAGTTGAAAATGTGCGGGGAACTATGGGAACTATCGAAAGCCTCAGCCGGACTTGTTGCAGAAGAACTTCAGATTGTAGAGATATCGCAATTAAGCCTTAAGTAGCTGCAGCCAACTGCTAAGCTCAAAAAGTGGAGCGGCAAAGCCTCCTCAACCCTTATTTTTGCTTCGTTTGTGCAAGTAAAAGCCCTTAGAAGTGGAAACAACTATCGGCGCTCAGAAGAAAGTTGCCTCTTTCCCGAACCAGTTTCCAATGTTGAACGTATTCTTCGATGATCTTATAGGGTGTAACCAGAGATCTCTGTCGGCTGGCTTCCTGAAAAACCCACTTCAAA